AACAAGATTAGAAACAGGTGGAAGAATTGCATCTATCACACAAAGGCAATGAATTTCATTTGTCACTCATACTTATTGAGAAGGGAATGTTTGTGTTGATAAGCTAGCTAATATTGGTCTCACTACTTCTAATTTCATTTAGTTTGATTACATCCACGATAGTAGTAGGTCAAATTAATTGAGAAACAAGTAAGGTTTCTCTTATTTTAGAGTTATACTTTTATAGGGTTTTAGTTGTCCCCCTTGATTTCCTTTGTTTTTTTTCTCTTCTTAGAGTCTGTTTTGTAGACGAAAAAAACTTTTACCGTTTAACTTTACAACTCACATCAATAAAAAAAAGCTTTGTTTGATAACAATTATTTTTACTTTTAGCTTGAAGCTTTATTTACTATCATATAACGTTTGATTCCCTTTGTTTTTATCTAGTGAGAATGAGTAATTTATATGAGAATGTGAGAATGAATAAGAACCATCAGATTTAAAAAGGAAAGGTTGAAATTAAATCATGGTTTTTACTAAATCATGTGTTATTAAGAGGAAAGAGAAATCATTAAAAATATCTTTTAATCTCAACCTTTTTCTTTTTAAATTTGATTGTTCTTTTTCATTTTCACATTCTCATATAACTTACCCATTCTCAATAATATATATACACACATACATGTCAACTTACAAGATGATGCAATATTTAGTGTTTTGAGTAATATATTTTATGATGAATTTCGAGATAGTAAAAGATTGGAGGGAGATCTACCAAGACAAAGAATATTCGTAATAGTATTGGAGTTTTATCGTAGAATGTTAGACAATAAATTTTTTTTTATTTTGAATTAATATGCCTAAATTCAAAGCTACAATGTTATTATTTCATCTATTTCGTTAAATTTAATTATAAAATTTAGATAAAAATATTTAATATATTTTGATGTTATTTTTAATTTTACATATATATTATAAATGTTTTGCATGTGTTTATTAATATATTTATTTATATCGAATAAAAATTAATTTATAATATGATATAATATTATATAATAAGATAATGGGATAATTGATTTCTTAATTAAAAATGTTATTTTATATTTATCAATTAATATAATCATTAATTTATCAAACAATCAAATTAACTTAGTAGTTTTCAATAAGGTCGTCTTGGCTTTTTAAAAGTACATGACTAATAATAAAAATATATCCTTAATAGAGAAACTAACCTTGAACTTTACTCATATAATAATTTTTTAAATATTTAATTATAAAAATAAATATTATTGAAATTCTACAATAAAGATTAATGATTTAGAAATAATTATATATAAATATATAAAAACACATACTAGTAAAAAAAATGGATTAGTTTGATGGGTCATGTTAGAACTTGTATTTTTCAATTACATGAGTTCAATTTCATTTAACATTGTTTTTTTTACAACTTAATCTTCTTTTTATTGCGTTGCATACCCCTGAATTCTAGGTTTGGTTGCCCTGACCCAAAGTCTATTATAATTATTAATTTTCAGTTATAAATTATTGGTCATCAACTATAAATATAAATTATTTTTATCTTTATCAAAGAGTAGCATGTAACATTAATTGTATTTCTTAACATATTCCCAATCTTTTTTTTTCTTTTAATACTTTAACTTTTTCTTTTATACTTAAAAAATTAAGAATAAAATTATAAAATTATAAATAATTTCTTTTTTTTCGTATAAATTAATTATATTTTTTAATTAGTAAGAAATGTAAAAAATCTCTCAAGTTAATATAGTTTTTACATTAAAAAACAACAAATTCAATAAAATTAATGAAATGATTATACTATTTAAAAGAACAACAGAAAAAACATGACTTAAAAAGTGACAGTAATTAACAGGACTTAAAATAGAAAGTTCTATGTAGCTGATATATGACTAAATTTGTCATGTTATGGGTATGATTACGATAGTTGCAACAAAAAGCTAGAAGCATAAACACATGAAATCTGTCTTTTATTCCACTATCAAATACTAAAAATGTCAAATTTATATATCAATTTTATTTTTATACTCTAATTTTATCAAAATCAATTTTATAGTATCCAGCCACAGTTATTCAATTCAAGCAGAATGAGCTAGTCTCACATTATGTGAGAGCCGTTTATATTTAGTGCCCAATAATACTTCAAATAAGATTTTACTTCCAATTGAGGGTACCTATAAAAAAACAAAAACAAAAATCAATTACAATTAAAAAATAAATATAATTTATGAATAACTTTGAAAGGATTGTATAAAAATAAATCAGATGTAATGGGTCATAAGAGAATAACATTCTACTATTTATCAACATTTCGTGACACAAACTTCATAAAAAACATAAACCACTAACTTGTTACGAATTTTTTTTCATAAATAAGACATTTTTCCCATAAATTTTTTATTTATATATAATTGTTGAGATTAATCTCTCGAATCAAAATGAACTATAATAAATCATAAAATTATTCTTTATAAATTTTAGTAGATATTAAACTTTGATAGAAAAGGAAATTTAATTTTTAAATATAAAGAAATGCAATAGGGAAAAGGAGATAAATGGAGTAGTTTATTATGCTCTTTTAGAAAATGATTAAATTTAAAAAAAGTATGTGGAGATTTTAATTAGAGATTGAAATAATTTAAATCAAAAATCTATAGATGAGAAATTGAAACATTCTCAATTTAAAAACCCAAAAACTTGTGATTAATAAATGAGTATAAACTAATAATTTAATCAAATATGTTGAAGAAAAATAAAATAGATAATACTAGTATTAAAGAAATTTTGTATTTTTTAAACTTACATCACAAAACTACGGGTTTAAATTAATTATTTTATTAAAATATACTTGAAAATTTGTTAATATGAAAAATAAAGAATAAATTTATGTTATACGAGCTATTATTAGTTATTAAAATTATTTTTAGTAACTAGTAATTTATATGAATTAAAATAAATTTAAAATATATATTTTAAATTTATTCAAATTTATATAAATTATTAGTTATTAAAAATAATTTTAATAATTAGTAATAGCTCGTATACTAATATATTAGTTATAAATTTTAATTATTGATTTTCCTTTTATATTTAAAAATATTAAATATTATTTGTATAGATATGTAAGTTTTTAAGGATAAGATAATTAAAAATGTTAGTAGTAAAAAAGGATTATTTAAAAAACTAAAAAAATAGTATTATTTCAATTTGTTCTTAATTTTTTCCTTAAAATTTTAAGATGAGTGGAGAAAAAAAAATCTTTAATTTTTTTTAAACAAATTGTATAGAATAAAATTTATAATTTTTAATATTTATTAAATTATAATAACCTACAATAAGTTTAAATATTTTGTCAAAATCTTCCTAAACCCTTAAACCTCCAATAGAATTTCTTTTTTTTTTTTTTTTTTAAGATTTTGGAGATTATATTGAAGGAGAATTTGAAAGCACTTTTTAAGATTTAAATAAATTCTTCAATTCTAATATTTGTTATTTCAATAGTTAAAAGTAAAAATATATAAATAATAAACAATTTCAAAAAAAAGTTTCATTTCATTAAACATTTAATTTCACACCACATTCATTTTAAGCAAATTTACTTTTATATTCGTAAATAAAATTTAAAATTTTGAAATTTACAATATTTTATCAAGAAATTTGAGTCTATTGAAAATTTTGAAAATTTTGAAAATTTATAATATTTTACTATAAACTTTGAAATTTTCAGTATTTTTATCAAAAATTTTATAATTTTTGAAATTTCTAAAATTTATTGTCATAAATTTTGAAAATTTCAATATAAATATCATAACTTTTAAAAATGTAAAAATATGAATATTACAAATTTCAATTGTACTATCAAAAATTTAGTTTTTAATACGTTAATAAAAGTGAAAATTTTGAAAAACAAATAAAATTTGATTATAAAGAATAGCAAGTACATTTTTAAAATTTAAAAATATAGAAGTGTCAGATATAAGTGTTGGCAAGTTCTCCATTGCATCTCTTTAACACACTCAATTCCATTCGGGATTGGATTCGGTACATACCAGTGACTTTGGTGCAAATAATTGATAAATGATCACTAAAAATGTTATTTTTAGAGAGATAAATTGATTTGGAGAGATAGAGAGAAAGGTACCAAAGGTAGCTAATCCATTGCATTCAGGGCCTTTGATATTTTATTTTATTTTCAGATAAAAAATATATTGAAAGACAAATAACAAGAAACACAAAGGAGAAGAAACCTGAACTCTTTAAATGAATTTAAGTCTTAGGACCAGTTTGTTAATGATTAAAATAAAAAAAAAAAAAATTTAGAAATTATTCTTTAGAAAACTTTATCAAAAACATTGATTAGAATTGAAAAATAATTAAATAAAGAGGCCAAAAATATTTTTTATAACCTAAACAAATGGAACTATTCAACTATTTCATAGAACACTTTTAAGCTCTATTGTGCAATTTTGACAGCAAAAAATAGAAGTATTGGAAAACTTTGGTATTGGAGTTTAGGCTAGCATGCCAATTTCAATTCGAGTGAAGTTTGTGTTTTTCATAAAATAAGGGTAAAAATGGAGGGAAAATTGTGTAATTCATTTCATTATATGACTTTTCAAACCATGTTATGAAGATTTTATTCTGTTCCATCATATAAAACTGTATAACAAGGGTAACTACATATTTTGGTCAGAAATTTTTCTAGATAAAATTTAGCTTTACTAAATTATTTTTCAAATTTAAACTTAATTTAAATATCCAACATAATTATTTTTAAAAAAACTTCAAAATTAACTAGCAATTTCAATCAGACATTTTTATGTACAAATTTTCTCTTAAAAGCACAAAATTTCAAATCAAAATTTTAAAACATAGAACTTGAGTAGTAGTGAACTTAAAATTTAAATAAACTATATCTACATAGAAGCACAATAAAATTTAGGGTAGTAATTTTTAAGGACAAGTGCTTAAAATTATCAAAATCAATGCATTAAAAGCTGGAAGAAAAGGTCATCTATCACCACTTTATAATCATACCCAAGTTTGTTGGCAATGTCATGGAATTCATCCATCTCATTGCTTGGAACCTGAATTCCAACTAATACATTTGCTCCAGTTTCACCCTGTTAAACACATCAAGTTCAAGAATTCCATTAGATTGCATTCCTCAAAGGAAAAATAAACAAGTACACATTAAGTAGTTGAGTAGAAGAATATAATGTCGCGAACAACACTGTAGCACCGACACCTTTAAAAAAAGGTTCAATGTCCGTCTTGGTCTAAAGTGACCCTGACACTTGTGATTACGTGATTACATTTAATTTATTTATTTTTCTAAATATTATCAGTGTAACGTGTCAATGTAAATGTCCTGTCTGGTGTCCGTGTCTGTGTTCATGCTTCGTAAGTCACAAATTCTCACCTGTGCACGGTAATGGAATAAACTGATATTCCATCGTGGACTGAAGGAGTCCAAAAATTTCATCAAAGCACCAGGTCTTTCTGGAAAGGTAAAACGACAAAGAACTTCGTTCTGAATTTCCGGCCGGGCTCCCATCTGAAAAATGTTTGCAAAACAAAGTAAGCTTAGTCGAATACAAAAACAGGATCAGTCCGTCATTGTGATGTGTTTGGTAAACATTTTAAGACCATCAAATCAAACGGAACAACTTTTTCTCATGTGTTTAGTGGGAAAAGGAAATGATAAAATTCAGAATGAGGGGAAGCCGATTTACCATGTGACGCAAATGATCTTTCACCAAGTCAACATCTGAGAGATTGTGAGTTACAAGCTGAGAAGATTCCATTCTCCCCTGCATTTGTTTTAGTTCTGACGAAGTGTGAATCCCGACACTGCACACAAACACAATGAATAATATAATATTTTTGTCTTGGCATAAAACTCATTATCATCGATTAAACAACAGGGCACTTCATCCATTTCTATGATCTTACCTGTAAAGGACAATAGCTTTCTCCTCAGAATTATATCTATATTTGAATTCTGTGATATTCATCGGCCCCACCTGCCAAGGCAAGAAGAAAATCAGTTCAACTTTGTTAAGGAAAAACAACAGTGAAGTCATTGAAACATACCAATTGACAAAAGTGTTTGAAACTGCCAGGCTCCTCCGGCAAGACAGTTAACAGCAAAGCTTCTTGTTTACGACCAACATTAGCAAGTTCAGTTACTGTCCTAAGTTTATCAAAATTCATGTTTGCTCCGGAGGTTATAGCTATAACATTTTCCCCCTTGAGCCCATAATACTTGCAGTATGCCTCAGCTCCAGCAAGAGCAAGCGCGCCTGCTGGTTCTAGTATGCTCCTTTTTTCCTCAAACATGTCCTGCAACAAGCTTAATCAGTGTCATGTCTTAAAACTTCAAGTCCTAAACAACATGTGGTGCTTCTTGTTCAATGTACAAATATTCAAAGGTCTACGTAGAAAAATAAGTTCAAATTCTTCTGATATAAACAAAACAACACACTTAGATGAAAGAGTTTGGAAAGTTATTCTAGTTCGAGCTATTATATGAAAAATACTCCTCCGCCAATCAATTCAAAATTTCTTATTGCTAGCTGACTCACAAATCGGCAAGCAAATCTGATTTCTTAACCAATTTGGTCAAACTTATGATCGGCTGTAAACTGTTAAGAAACATAGATGGAAATGAAAATTTAATCCGGCGTCAAAACAGTAAGAACACAAATTCAAATTTATTTGAAAGAAATAAAAAATTTCTCAATTATACTTTTCATAAAACTAGAGAGGTAGTTACCATACATTATGGTGATGTGTGTGTATGTGGAAACTGTCTACAGCACCAGAGATTCCGAAAGCAAACTTTCACGAGGGAAAGGGCATCTCACCTTTATTGATGCACAAATTGCATCACGGCTTACAAGAACAACACCATCGACCAACTCTTTGCACAAGCGAAAAGTTTCTATGCCGACCTCTTTAACAGCTACACCATCTGCAAATCCTCCAACCTGGTCCAAAATCACTCTGTGGCCATGATGAAGTGACAAAGCCATTGCATTTGCATCAGTGGGTTCCACCCCTATAATTTTCACCTGTTTACATTAGAAATGTCAGAAGTCAGTTAACTACTCAACTTTTCCAAGTGAACAAAGGCACAAGCAATAGAAAAAAATGTCAGCACAATATCATGCAAGCAAACAAACCTCTGGATTAATCCTCTTCACGTAAGCGGCAATACCAGCAATGAGACCACCACCTCCCACAGGCACAAAAATTGCATGAATTGGACCCTTCATTTGACGCAAAATTTCCATCCCGACAGTTCCCTGACCTATTATGACATCGGGATGATCAAAAGGAGGTATGAATGTACGACCCTCTTCTATAGCACGCTTCTTTGCATATGCCTGTGCTTCGTCATAGGAATCCCCAATGAGAACAACAGTAGCACCCAGCCTCTCCACAGATTTCCACTGCAAAGGTCAAAAATAATAAAAACACATATAACTTAATCAACCACATTAGTTCTTATTTTCATAAAAATATTACAAGAAACAAAGAATGAAGCTTTTTTTGGTTTTATCCCTCGAAATATGAAGGGAAAGGGACCTCAGTAATTCGAATTTCAGTCGTGAGGACAATAAAGTACAGACAATGATTCTTTCGCCTAGGAATCAAACTCAAGTACTTCAGATCTACTCGATCTTAATCAAACTCATTAAACATGTGGTTAGAAATAAACAAGGCATCATTATAACTTATTGTCGAAATAAGCCAACTCAGTTGGTAGTTGTGCAGCGACATCCGACGACTGCAGGAGCTCGGGTTCAAATCCATGGCATCCCATTTATTTATCTTTAAACGCCTTTAAGAGGTGAAATTTCAGCTTCTAGGCTATTAGACCAAAAAAATAGAAAGATACAAGGCATGGAGAGTTAATAAATGAAAACCTTGATGTCAGGTGTGGTAACGGGCATAGCAATGACGGCGTTGCAATTCAATCTCTTGGCAGACATGGCAACTCCTTGAGCATGATTTCCAGCAGAAGAACATATAACCCCTTTCTCCAAAACATCCTCTGGAAGTTTAGCCATCATATTATAAGCTCCACGAAGCTTGAATGAGTATACCTATCACACAATCCACAATTTCATAAACAGCATATCCTAAAGCTAAATGATAACACAAATACCAAAAAACAGAGTAAATTATAATAATTATAATAACAAGAAAGTGAATTGATGATATGATCCTTACTGGTTGAAGATCCTCCCGCTTGAGCCAAATGTTAGCACCAATTCTTTCGGAAAGCTTCGGCGCAAATTCAAGAGGTGTCTCTTTAGCAACATCATAGACCTTGGAAGTGAGTATATTTGTCAAATAGCTCATAGGACTTACTAAGGCGTCACCGTCATCGGAACGTGACCGTTCAGGAACTGCTCCGACGTAACCTGGAGGGTACTGAAGTGAAGCGGTGGAAGCCTTGAACGGAGGAGGAAGAGGAGGAGACAGTGGCGATTCAGAGAGTAAAGGAGAGGGAACTATTTCTACGGGTTTGGAAAGCGCGGGGACGACGAAAGGATTGAAGCAAGGGTTAGGTTGAAGCGTAGTGCGCTGCATTCCGTGGCGCTGGTGACGGTGGCGACGGAGGAGGGGTAAGTGAGGTTGAGCGGTGGATAATCGGAGCGCCTCCATGGTTTGGGTCATGGATTTCTGACACGGATTTTGGTGAGTCAAATCCGAAGGTTTACTGTCATTGATACTGATTTATCATCATCATATATATATATATATATATATATATATATATATATATATATATATATATATATATATATATATATATATATATATATATATATATATATATATATATATATATATATATATATATATATATATATATATATATATATATATATATATATATTCGAAAATGAAAATATTCCTCTTTTGTGACATGTGGTTATTTATTTATTTATTAATAATGTAAAATTTTTAAAATTTATACTTAATTAAATTATGTGAAATATTATTTATATATGTTAATTATTAAAATATTTATATATATATATATATATATTTCGAAAATGAAAATATTCCTCTTTTGTGACATGTGGTTATTTATTTATTTATTAATAATGTATAATTTTTAAAATTTATACTTAATTAAATTATGTGAAATATTATTTATATATGTTAATTATTAAAATATTTATATATATATATATATATATATATATATATATATATATATATATATATATATATATATATATATATATATATATATATATATATATATATATATATTTCGAAAATGAAAATATTCCTCTTTTGTGACATGTGGTTATTTATTTATTTATTAATAATGTAAAATTTTTAAAATTTATACTTAATTAAATTATGTGAAATATTATTTATATATGTTAATTATTAAAATATTTATATATATATATATATATATATATATATATATATATATATATATATATATATATATATATATATATATATATATATATATATATATATATATATATATATATATATATATATATATATATATATATTTCGAAAATGAAAATATTCCTCTTTTGTGACATGTGGTTATTTATTTATTTATTAATAATGTAAAATTTTTAAAATTTATACTTAATTAAATTATGTGAAATATTATTTATATATGTTAATTATTAAAATATTTTATATATATATATATATATATATATATATATATATATATATATATATATATATATATATATATATATATATATATATATATATATATATATATATATATATATATATATATATATATATATATATTTCGAAAATGAAAATATTCCTCTTTTGTGACATGTGGTTATTTATTTATGTATTAATAATGTAAAATTTTTAAAATTTATACTTAATTAAATTATGTGAAATATTATTTATATATGTTAATTATTAAAATATTTTACAAAATATTTATATTGTATGATTTGACATTTTGAAAATATATATATTTAAAAACTTTTATGAATATATATATATATATATATATATATATATATATATATATATATATATATATATATATATATATATATATATATATATATATATATATATATATATATATATATATATATATATATATATATATATATATATATATATATATATATATATATATATATATATATATATATATATATATATATATATATATATATATATATATATATATATATAAAGTTAAAATTATCATATTTAAAAGAGATTAAACGTATCGTATTATATCTAGAAGACATACATTCAAGTCTATAAATATTACAGTATCAAATTGTTCAAGAATCATACTGTCAAAATGTAAAGATAAAATAAAATAATTAAGAAAAAAAACTTAGTAACAACAAAAATTATTGAAGTAGCTTAAATAAAGGATCATTTCATTATTAATATTAAATTTATAATGTTCTAGAATAACTTTAATGAAAATATGTATTTGAGTTTCATAAAGAGATTAAAAAAAAAATCTTTCATTGAGGAAATTTTTTTTAAATAAAAGGTAAATTAAAATAAAATAAAAATTACAAAAATTGGGGATATGAAATCAAATTCGATGTTAGAGAAAACACAAAACATCTCAAAATAATGATACATAACAATCATTAAAGGGTTAACAAAAATCATAATCTTGAACAAACAATCATGTATCACTTGCCCAATCTAACAAATCCATGTTGGAGAGCGAAACCAAATTAAAAAGAATTAGGAGCATGAATTGACTACGACAAGACTCGAATCTTAGAAAATGGCTAAAGAATTTGATCGTCGACACAGTAACAAATTCATACACCAACAATTCATTGTAATAACAACAGTAAAATTCAGGTCATTTCTAGTCAACCAAGTGTTGCTCAATCGCGAAAGATTGAGGCAGATAAACACCATCCCTAAATCTCTGGCAGGATGAATGCAAAATTTAACAGATTTGAAGTTGCATAACGCGACAAATTAGTGTTGAATAACAAATGTGAGTTGTGTTGAGAAACAAGTGTGAGTTCTAAGTCTCATATTGCTTAAAAAATGGAGGTTGACCACTTTATAAATGAGAGGACTCATACACCTGTTACCTCAAGATTTTGGATGAATATGTAGCGTCTCTCTTACTTGTTTGGGTGAGTCTTTGACCTTTAAGTGAGTGTTTGACCCAATGTGAATGTTTCTCCCTTTTGATGATCTATCAGTGGGATTCGAGTGACTTCTTGTGTCAAAAGTCTTCTAGGGAAATTGTTACACTTTATAAATGAGAGGTTTTGGGTGAATATATGGTGTATGTCTCACTTATTTGGGTGAGTCTTTTACCTTTAGGTGAGTGTTTGATCCAATGTGAATGATCCATCAATTAGAGAAAGGGCAATGCAATCAACAGCCACCCACAAATCTGAAACATATCCACAAATCCAAATCACCACAAAATACAAAAACCATCGTGACCTATAAATTTGAAAACATATCCACAGTTCTGAAAACAAACCGAAGGGTGTAAGCAAATAGTCGTGTTTGTGTAAGTAGGACCCAAACACGTTAAGGAAGAACCATCGTTCACTGATTATGGTTGATTGTTATCCACAAAAACCTATAGTTTTCACCATCATCCGAAAATAGTTTGACCGCTCCATAAAGGATTAGAGGGTGGTGAAACAGCTAGTAACATACTCACCACCAACCTGGCGCAACATGATGGAAGACGAGATGATTTGGATTTGTGGAAGTTTAATGAAAAAAAGAAAGAATAAAGTAAAGAGAGAGAACAAAACGTTTTAGGATTTCTTAATTGATGTTTAAAACTTTCATAATCTATTGAAGAAACTTGATATAATGCATAACAAAAACTATAAAAGTAATTTGAATAAAGTATTATATTTTTATTAATATTTTATTCATAAAAAATATTATAATATATCAATTTTTTTAATTGTTTAGTGACTGAAATTCATCTTTTAAAAATAAATAAGTGAGATGTCGCAGATTCGAATTCATATCTCTATTTTTAATGTCATGCACAAACTATTAACTGAATTGATTTAACGTGAATATTAATTTTGTTTTATTTTTTTTATTAGAGGAAAAAATATAAAACTTTCATAAATATTGGATAGTGTTATATGGACATTTATTAATCTTAACGTATTATTGAAAATGTCGATAAAAATGCTTGTTTGAATGATTGTTTGTTACATCCCTAGATTATATAGGCCACATTTATGTATATAAATTTTAAGAATAAACATCCTCTTCCTTTCAAAATAAATATGAAAAAATTATTTTGTCTCAAAATATTCATCATTTTAGTTTATTAATATAATTTTAGTTTTAATTTTCCAATTGTAGACTTAATTTTATGTTTTATCACTTTATATTAACGCTAATTCGACTAAATCAATAATTGATCAAAATAATTTTATATTCTTCCTATTTTATTTATTACATTTTTTAATTAATGTGAAAATATCAACTATAACCCTTATTTTAAGACGGAAAAACTAATTAATTTAAAGGATTTTAATAATAAAATTAATATTACAATTTTTTTTAATTACACATTTGATCCTTTATTTAAGTTATTCCTGAATTAATTCTTATTTTAAAATCAAATAAATTTTAAATAAAAAAATAATAATATAATGTATTTTAAGTGATTTAATACTGAATTAATGATATTCATGTAATTAAATTACATTTCTATAAATATATATATATATATATATATATATATATATATATATATATATATATATATATATATATATATATATATATATATATATATATATATATATATATATATATATATATATATATATATATATATATATATATATATATATATATATATATATATATATATATATATATATATATATATATATATATATATATATATATATATATATATATATATATATATATATATATATATATATATATATATATATATATATATATATATATATATATATATATTTATAGAAATGAAATAGGATATGATCCTCCTCTCTCTCAACCACACTATGTGGATCCATATGCATCATGATCATTCTCCACTTTTGCGTTATTTTGTTTTAAAAAAGTTATTTATTTATAAATATAAAAAAAAACTATTATATTAATACATAAATATAAATCAATATTATCATTAAAAATTGAATTTATAATAATAATTTATGTTTATTTAACTTAATTAACGCATATCAATTAACTTACTGCTTTTTTTATTATCCATCTTCCTTCTATAAAATATTTGGAATTTTCTTTAACTTTTAGTTCTCTAAATTCGTCCTAAATTTCATACATTAATAATCAATATTTTTTCTTTTTCTTTTTTCACTTTCTTCTTTGTTAGCACATATTCATGAAGTTGTAATCAACATAATCACGGATTCGGGTATCTAAATTTGTTCATACTCAAATATTCAAAGTTGCACACTCAATTTAAAAATATACATATTTCACTCAAATTTAAAAATAATATTTCAAAATCTAAATCTCAATTTTATAAATCTGAAAAAATAAAAAATGAAGATTTGATTAGAAAAAAAAATGTGAAACATGTTTTCTATGATGATTTTGGGAAAGTAGTACTTGTGGGACTTAGGCCGTACTACCACTATCCATACAGCAACTATTCTCTTTACGTA